TTAAGATGGTGTTGTAGCAAACGAAAAATATGGTAATCTGATGGTGCCATATCTGGAGAATATGGTGGGTGGGCGAAAGCTTACCAACCCAACTCCATAATCTTGTGTTGCTTCAAACGTGCCACATGTGGACATGCTTAAACGTTCCAGTTGATGACTATAGATCTCTGCGTTAACAGTTCGCTATGGATTGAGGAGTTCGAAATGAATTACTCCTTTTTATGTCCCACCAAATGCAAAGCATCACTTTCTGCAGATGAAGTCCAGGTTTTAGGGTAGGAAGTACTTTTTGTCTAGGATTGAGCCATTACTTTTGGCGTTTAATATTCACATAGAGAATCCAATCACCGGTGACAATTCTGTCCAAAAATGGTTCACGCTCATTACGGAGAGTTCGTGAAGCACTGAAACACCTTCTTTATGGGGTTTTCCCATATTTCTTAGATGTTTACGAATTGTTTCATGAGAGACATGCAATTTTAGAATCATTTTACGAGTGTTTTGCCTTAGGTTAGATTCAACAAGCGTCTTCAGAGCATCAATATCAATTTCAACATGTCGGCCTATGCCGTCACAGTTTTTAAGGATAAAGTCACTTGAACGAAATTTGCTGAACCATCGTTGACACTTACAAACGTTCAAAACATTTCCATAAACTACTTTCATATTCTTTGTGGCTACAGAAGCGTTTTTTCCCTTCTTGTATTCAAACAGCATTACATGTCTCGTCGCATACCATCACTATAAGGGATTAGAGTATACTAAACTTTACACATTACATAGGCTACACTAACGTGACGTTTAGGCGGTTTGTTTAACTATTATACGTGATGTATGTTTTTTTGTAGGGTTAATTAAAGTGTTCCAAAACGCGACATTAATCTCTTGACGACCTATTAGAAACACTATTATAGTTATATCACAATTTGAAGAACATCCTGCTAAAACTTATAGTCTAATGTTTAAATTATCTTGGATTCCCAGCTTACCTAAAACACCATATAAATTCAGATTTATTGTCAGGCCTAAAAAAGCTACAACTAAGGAAGAATATTTTAAATACAATAAGTAATGATATGAAATATACTAAAGAATATTTAAACAAATACTGTAGTATTACATAGGTTTGCGATGGTTTTATTATCTTGAAATTTTTACATGTTCTACAATAATTCCTGTACGCTAAATCCGAAAATGATATCCATTTTTCTCCATCACGTACAGATTTTTCACAAAACGTCATATGTATTTTTACATAAGTGAATCATTTTAATTGAACTCTAGTCACATTTTGTTATGTTTAAAATGTTGACAACCACTGGCTATAGATTTCTCTAGATCAATCGCGACGTGAGAGACTTATCGATCGTTCTAGAGCCCAAACATAATAATAAAAAATGTTCATTGTGGTAAACGAAATAATAATTTTATCTATATAAGAGATATTTCTTCCTGATTTGTAAACTAAAAATCCTTACGCGTTAGAAAAAAAAATTATTTTCGAAATCTGCATAGCTAAATTATGGAAAATCCGTTATTAAAACCAAAACAACTTTTATGAAGTTTAAAGTCGCAGGTCTGTGTTATCAAAGAAAGAACCGGAATGAATCAATTCATTATCACCATTAAATGTAAAGAAAAAATTAAAGGCTTTGAAACTGAAACAAAAGAAACTTTTTACTTTATTCATTTTTAACACTAGTCTTTCTATTGATAAAATTTAAAGGTATTTTAGTCAAAGGCCCGGCATGGCCAGGTAGTTAGGGCGCTCGACTCGCAATCTGCGGGTTGCGGATTCGAATCCCCGTCCCACCAAACATGCTCGCCCTTTCAGCCGTGGGGGCGTTATAATGTGACTATTCGTTGGTAAAAGAGTAACCCAAAAGTTGGCGGTGATGACTAACTGCCTTCCCTCTAGTCTTACACTGCTAAATTAGGGATGGCTAGCGCAGGTAGCCCTTATGTAGCTTTGCGCGAAATTCAAACAAACAAACTTTTAGTCAAAAAATTCAAGGTTTTAATAATTCTGGTTAATTAATGCTTCGCGTTAGTAAACATAAATGACACCCATAAAAATCATTATTGTTTCACATTAAGCGAATTATTGTAGGCTTTGTACGTTTTAGTTGAAAATTCATTTGTACAACTTGGCCGACGAATCTTCCAACGAACATGTGGAATTTCAATGGAAGGTAACTTCAGCTCACAAGTTATTTATAATTGATTTTACTCGAACTTGAATTTTCGTATATGAGCCATCTTACTAAGAAAGACTTTAATTAAGGTTTGCACACTTGCGCTTGTAGATATATTAATGATATTCGTATTCCTAATTATCAAGGTTTTCTTGACACAGCCAAATAAATGTATCCATAGGAACCACTCTAGAAAAAATATATTTCACTAATAAATAAGAAAAATACTCTCTAAGTTTATATATCACCATCATCAGAGTTGTAGCACAGCACTTTGAGAGATTGCACTGGGGATGATGAGGTTATTATGATGTTGGAGACTATTTCGAATGCAAGGCAGCTGTAGAAGAGGAGAATCAAGATTGTATATTATAGGTCTAGATGGTAGAATATATATTATAAAATTAAGAGAACTGTTGTTAGGGCAGCATTGACACGTTTCAGAAAGGATCATATGACTGAGAGATATCGGCCATCAAAGAAAGAGAAGTTAGAGTTTAAGAAGCTGTGCACTGAACAAACTGAAGCAAAGGGAATTGGCTATACTGTTGGAAATTAAGAATCAGAAGGAATTTGACACTTTATTAGTGCTGAGAGAAAGATTAGGAGCGAAGTGAATGAGAATATAAGTGTACACCAGATTGAATCATACTTTGCTCTGCTGTTGGATAGAGTTTTTACTGTTAACGAGGAGTCTGATAGATTTTGTGGTGAGATTAGTGAAGTAAGTATGGAAGAGGATATTTCGACTAAGGAAGAGGGCAACTAGTAAATATGCGCAAGAAGAGGAAGGCCGCAGGTCCGAATGGGGTTGAGAATAAAATTTAGATTTTTTTTCTACCGCGAAAGTTGTCGCGTGGTTAGTCTGGAATGGTGAAGGGTTCCAGTGCGCATGGCGAACAGAGGTGACTTGCACAATTTACAAAGTGAGGGACTAGAGCATAGTTGAGATCTACAGAAGAATTTCATATTTGGCCACTAGTTATAAGATTTTTGGGATAGTGGTGAACGCTAGACTAAGCATGTGGATCATAAATCACGATATGCTGCCAGAGGGAGAAGCTGGTTTCAGGCAAAGCAGGGGTACGATGGCTAATACGTACATCCTAAACAACTTGATTTTGGTGTATTTACAAATGAAAAGATAAAAGCTGTGCGTATTCTTTACTGAATTAAATGCTGCGTTTGACTCTCTTAACAGAAGAGAATTAATCCGGATGTTGTGAAGGTTAGAATTGGAAGGCAGGGACTTGTTGGTTATCCAAGAAATATGCAGTGAAACTGTGATTATAATTAATGTAAAGAACACTCCTCAAGAGCTTTTTGGACCTTAAAAGTCGTTCGGCAGGACTGTCCACTAAACTCCTTCTTATTCAATTTGTTATATCTCTGATGTGGATCAGTCGCTGAAGAATAATCAGGATGGGAACCCATCTTGATGGCTGTTAAGTGTTATTTCCTTCCCTATGCAGATGACATATTGGTTCTTGCACCTGCTTCAGAAGAGCTTACGATAATGATCCGTTTTCTTGAAAAATGTTTTGATCGGAAAATCCTAGAGCTCAATATTGCTAAATCAAAAATAATGGAAAACGAATTAAAGTTGAAATTTGATATTGGAAAGGTGAGGAACTTGAAGTTGTAAAAAGTTTCAAATATTTCGCCTATTATTTTCGAAAAGATGGTGGTTGTCAGACTCATATTGAGCATGTTATAAGAAAGGCCAGATCTGCGACGAACTGTATTTGGGGAATTGGTAAAAGAGAGTTTCCTACAAATTTCAATGTGAGATTAAAATTGTTTGGTAATATCGTGAAGTCGACTGTATTGTATGTGGTCGAAATTACAGGTTTGATTTGCATTAAAAAAGTAGAAGTTTTCCAAATTATTGTTTGTTGGTGATGGATGGGATAACACCCAATTATATTGTCTGCGATGAAATCTTTGGAAGACAATTATGGAATGATGCGTGGAAAAGATCGTACAAGTTTCAGAAGAAGACTGGGCAATTGGAAGATTTTCGGTGGATTAAACAATGTTGGAGACTATGGGAAAGACTCAATTTTATGGAACTGTGGAAGAGGAAAAAGCTTTTTAATATTTGAAATAGTCAGACTTTGCTTACACAGAAATTGAAAATCTTGAACCAGACGGCTGGGATGTTACGACACTGGTTTAAGATAGAATGTATGAGCAGTAGTGGCAAGATGTTAATAGCGGGATTGAGGCTGCTCGATATAACCGCTTTATAAGTATATTAGGCCTATTGGTTACTGAAAGAAGTACTTGGATAGACATACTGTGTATTGGAAGGATCAGATAAATCTGGTAAGATTACAATGTGGAAATGTCATTCACGGAAACAAATATTGGTTATCAGAAAGTTTACGTATGTGTGCTTGTAAACAAGAAACAATGCTGCATATAGGAGATAGTGTTATTTATAGCCTTTCTTTAAAAAAAAATTATGATACTCTTGGCCAGAATCGATTACGTTTTATGAATACACTTGAATACTAGTGGTGTAAAACTGAAATATTACATACAGACCATTCAAACATTTCTATAAAGCATTAGCTCAAAATACATTAATATAGTTTTTAAAGATTTTGCGGCAAACCTCCTGCAATGCTATATTTAACATATCCTGGTAATTTTAAATTCTAAATGTAAAAACAACTGACGAATTAAAAAAACGCACTTGTATTTTTGTAATGCAAGCAAAAAACAGACAAGTAATAAAGCTAACCAATATTTTATGGCAGTTTACTGAAAACCGTATACAAAAGTTATTGTTGTCATCTGAAGTACAAGAACAACTTGCTAGTTTGTAGTATCGAACCAATTCTAAAAACGCTCGCTTACAATCTTCTTGGTTCACAACTTGAAAAACAATAGCACCAAGAAAAATCAACTGACAAGTTTATTTTCATAGAACTTAATAATAACTTCATAATATCTACCATCCAGTTAATTAATACAATGATTTATTTTCAACACTTCTTTGAAATATATCACGAAGCGACAGAATACAGAACAATATACTATGTGTTTATCTTTTTCCACTATTTCTAGGATATAAGATGACAAATTTATTTTATATATTCAAAAACTCATGACATATTATAAACTAACAACAATCATATAAAATTTAATGACGATAAGTGTTTATAGCAGTGAAATATACTTAAGCTTGTTGGTTGCAAGTAAGTATTGAGCCTGTCGCACGACATATTCTTCAAAGGTTCAACAGTAAACATTATGATATGTTTTCTCGCATATACATTACCTTATAATTACGTATATTTACATATATTTTTTTACAAATTTCACATGCGTTTCAACTGATGGTAAAAAGTTTATTTTTTTCAGACTGAAAATACAATGGATTTATATATTTGAGATTGTACTGCACCGAAAAATTACTTAATTTCCACAAATTCGAAGTTTTCCCAATTTCAATTTCGTGGCGTCTAATACCAAGTATTTTTAGACCACGAAGCTTGTAAACTTAAGAATTGATTTTCACTATAAACTTTGTCACGTGGTTGTATGAGAACAACTACAAGGTAATCATTTGTTAGATATACATGCTTCTTTGACAGATCCAACTTTGCTAGAACACTTGTCAAAAATATCATTAATAATTTAAGATATTGAACAGTTTTCTTGTGAATTTCTAACTTTTCTAATTCATAAATAGATTATGACAATTTCGCTACGCCTTCTAGGCTTCGATATAAGTTAGACAATTTCAATGTCTATGTACTAAATAGTGCAGTTCTGGACTATCAGAACAGTATACACTTCCAGTAACATAATCAATTATTTTCCAACTATTGTAATACTGCTTTAATTAAATGAAAAATTAGACTCAATTCTAGGACTATGTAATTTGTTGTAAAATTTAATGGAAAAAAATAAGGTTTCAAAACAAGAACAGTACATTTTATTTTCATACTTCAAAGAGTGTCATTAAACACTCTATGAACTTCAAACTATTTCCAAGAGATGATAAATATTTGCTTGACGTCTCATAAGTTTAATTCTTATCATAATGTAGAACTTATATTTATTTCCAATAAAAACTATGTATGATTTAATAGTAAGATATATTGCTTATGAAGTTTTACTACACAACACAGTCAATCTATAAAATAATTTTTCAACTAGTAAAACAGAGATGAAAAGAACAGGAGAGAAATGAATTGTGGCTTAATATCAACATATCAAAAATTAGGTTTTACAACGGACTTACAACGCTAGAAATCGAGTTTCGATAACCGTGGTGGGAAGAGCACAGATAGCCCATTGTGTAGCTTTGTGCTTGACTTTAAAACAAACAAACAAAGGTTTAGATATTTACTTGAGTGTTTTGTAGTTGTTTTTTAGTTTAAAAAAACCTTAACAAAAATATACTTTCGCAGATTTCATCATACTTTTCCCTATAACTAACCACTATAATGAGATTCCTTTGAGATTAAAACATCTTTGGCAAAATTCTTACCATTTTTGATGGCTTAGGCTGACCAGGTGCCCAGGCTGTAAAATCTGTGGGCGAGTTGTCTGTCCAATAGAATTGGCTTTCGTCCGTGAAATCTTGCAATCCTAACCATGCGCTCGATTTGTGTTCGGAAAGTAACATGGCAAATAGATCTGAAACGAGTTTTGCGTACATTCATTTATCACTCTCTTTTCGTGCTCGTCAACAAAAAATTGATTGGTAAGCTAAACTAATAATTGAAAGATGTAGGAAGTTTAATTTACTATAATAACATTTAATTTATAAATTGCAATAAACTTTTATTTTTGCACAATCCAAAAACTTATTCGATCGTACTTTGGCACTTCATTTCAGGAATGGCTTTTTGGTTAGAGTGTCAGGCTGTGTTTCGATGGCTCCAGGATATAAGACGTAACGTCGCTGAACACGATCCGCACTTTTACCTGTTGACACGTTATAAAAGTGACAGTCAATTTGGGGCAATTTGTTGGGTAAAACAAAATACGCGGCCTAGCTAACTAAGAATGAATAATTGGTGTAAAATTCTTATCAATGCTATAAGTGTAGCTACTAGTTTAGCCGCCAGTTTTGATTTAATTCCTTTAAGTCGCACGCTCAATTCTTTTTGGCCGCACCTTATTTTTCACAATTAAGGTGTTTTTGAGTGGTGATCATGACTTTTTGTCAATACACACCAACAAATCACAGCAAGTAAGAAAGTGACACTTAATAGTAATCAATATTAGCTTTAGGATCGCAACCTCATTACTCGTAAAGACCGATACTTTACAGAACCAATCAGATTATTTAAAATGTATGGTGGTAGATTTTCCTCTCTAAAACAGTGTTAATCATTTTGATTTAATTCCTTTAAGTCGCATGCTTAATCCTTTTTGGACCGCACCTTTTTTCACACATAAGGCATTTTGGATTAGATTTAACATAATGTTTAGGACAACAAGGGACATATTGGACCATATTGGACTTAATGAGCAATGATCACTTGCACCCAAATGGTCCCCGATTTCCACCATCTCAACAATTTCTATATTAGAAGTTAACAATAAATCTAAAAGAGCGTTGTTTCTATTAGGTTACTTGACCATTTGGTGAATAAAACCATTTTGAACAGTTTACAAAGCTTTTCTCCCTCATAGTTTGACTCTAGCATTTCCCAAGTAACATTTTATATTTTTCTAGTAGAAACGTGGTTAAGAAAGCCTGTGTTTAATAAGGTCCCGGCTACCTTATGCCTAGCTTAATGAGTTTTCGTTTACGTTATATGAAGTCTGGTAAGGTACCGAATTCTACATACACTTTATTAAACTTATGGTTACATTACAACAGCAGGCTCAAACTTAACGTTGCACATCAAAGTTAACCACACAACTGACATTTCGTCAACACCAAAAATAAGCTCATTACTGATTTTATAATGATAGAATAACATTAAAAACTCATGGCAAAATATCAAACTCAACCACACAACTGACACTTCCGTCAACACCACAGCAAACTCATTACTCTTCCTACTGTAAAACAATAACAGTAAAAAACTCGTAGCCACACATCAAACTTGATAAGATGACCTACGTCAACATCATAACTAGTTGATTAAATCCTTCACTGCTGTGTGAGTTTGGAATTTTGTATCACACAAAGAAAAGGTATTCTCTTTCAAACCTTCCAGAGTTTACCAGTTGTGAGCTTCACATAAGTAATGTCGTTTTGCTTTTTTTATATTTAACTAAAATTAAACCTGGCACTGGGAGAGTTATTTATCTATGACAATCAAAGAATTAAGCTCCCTATGATAATACTATAACATTAAAAAATATTGGTCACACATCAAATGAAATAAACATACTAAACTTAATAATTCAAGTTTAATAAAATCCGACAGTATAGTTAAACATCTGGTTGGATGATCCACGAGGGAAATACATTACATGCCTAAGTCTATATTATTATGTTAAATATGTCGCATCACAGAAGCAATCTTTTATTTAACTTTGAAACTCTTTATATGACAATGAAAGTGTATATGAGAACAAAAATTAATTAGCCTTAAAATATATTGATAAAAGCCAATCTAAATCATACATATTTTTTCTACATTCTTATTTTTTTTCCATTATATATTTCAAACCAGGTTAGTGTAAGTACAGCATTTCAGCTTTCTAGTTTAGAGCGGTACGTTTTCACAAACTAAAAAATAGGTCTCAAAAGCTATTTGAGACAGCGGGTTTCTGGACAGTAATTTATGGTATACAAAAGATAAATCTGATCATTAGTCGTACAGGCTTCGAATGCTTCGCCAGCTTTGAAAGATCAATACAGGAACTAAAAAACACTTTGCTTTAGTGGCACAGCGGAATGTCTGTGGACTTACAACACTAGAAACTGGCTTTCGATAGCCCATTGTGTAGCTTTGTGCTTAATTACAAACAAACACAAATTTAAGACCAAAACGTTTCACTTTAAACAGTTAGAAAAGGAACACAACGATGAGCACGCTCAGAACGAACAATATAAATATAATGAACATGAATAAACAGATCTGATTTTCTTATATATATATATATAAGAAAACACTTAACCATTATATACACTATGTCAATATACTTGAAGAATTAATGATCAACATATCATTATAACTATATAATTCGTGTACATATCGCTCACCTTGCTCATCTTGACTGTGAATAGAAACCAGCTCTGCTTCTAATGTTTTGCACTGTGTTTGTGCCTTAAACCAGGTCAAGCGATCCGCTACATTGTCTCCTCCAAAGAAAAAGCATTTGTTGCCTAACAGATATATAAACAGATGAAAATGTTAACATCATTAGTGTCTTTGACAAGAAAACAACAATAGCCATGTTTATCGATTATCTCAGATTTTAGTATGAACCAGCATGGGGGTGTACTTTAATCGTACTAGATTTTAATGCTATTTCGTTCTAAGACATAAGTTTCATGTATGCGGATAAGATTTACTATACAGTCTCCTCGTGATACTCAATAAAAATTTAATGTTCCGATAAACATGTGTATCATGGGTGCTGTATACGTGTTATTTTCTATCATCATTAGGGAAGGTCAAAGTTTTCGGATTTTTCGCACAATTCGTTTCTATGCAGTTTTAGCATAAAATACTTTATCAAGAAAACCCTTGAGATTTCTCAGTTCTAGTTGATTTTGTGTCTTTATCTCTCTTCCCCCCCCCTTCTCTCTCTTATAACAGATAACACCTACTTTTTCCGTATAAATGATGAAGCATTCTTTTGCTGGCCGAGTAGATGATGTCAGTATATCCTAGTCAATGAATGCTGTAAGAGGATGACCAGTCACGTGGGGACGCAATCGTAAGATAAAGAAACCTGGGTTTCCTGCACACTAGGGACGTTGTTTCTTGATCATTTGTACTTAGCCTTCATTGTGTTCAGCTCTGCAGAGATTCATCTTGGCAGAGAGAAAGCTGACGAAGTATACACAGATCCAGTTCAGATCATTGTGTAAGTGTCTACGCAAGTATGCACGCCGTGTTTTTTGTTGCGTTACTAATAAAGATTGATTCATTTAACATCATACGTTTCCAGTCTGTTTCTTTCTCACTCAATTTCAAACTCAATCGAATTTTCAAATTCAGATTACCCCCACAAACTTCATATTCAATTCTCTCGTTATTAAACAGACTTTCTAATATTTACGAAGAAATCAGTTTATCAAAGAAGAACACAATGTATGATGTTTCCATTCATTGTGGTTACTTTGTAATATCCGAAATTGAGTGTGAATTTTATTTTTTTATTTTTGGGAGTATCAGTTTGATTTAGACAACCAGAACCCTTTTCCCTTTAATTTCCATTTCTTGCATGGTTCACGAAAATTAAGGCATCGATCAAGCTTAATAGTAAAATTAATATATTGATAAACTTTACCTGAAGTGTACCAACCACTTGGACAGAAACCTAACGTGGATATTGTAGTAGTTTGTTGTACAGGTGTTGTAACTGTTCCATAACTTTTTTTGCAAACAAACCCTGTCTTCGAGTTGCAGTTCTTGTCATTCCACATCCCTGGGAAATATTCTACCAAAAAATAGCCGTTGGTTACTGAAATGTTTGATAAATTACAGTATAATGATTAATTAGTACACGAACAAAACGCAGATGTGTGATGCGATTTCTGTTTCGTTTTAAATTTAGATACTGAAGAGAAAAGCAATATTAACTATAAAGATTACAGCGCCAAATCAATATCGAGGTTGGAACTTCCTACAGCATAGGGCGGTCGGCTGGTAGAGAAGCATTTTTGTTGAATTACATATTTTTAAAAACAACAACAACAACTTTCTACCTATGTTAAACTTCTAGCGCTTAATCAAAAATAACTGATGAATATTTTTCCTGATTGTGGAGCTTTATTTGTTTGTTTTTGAATTTCGCGCAAAGCTACACGAGGGCTATCTGCGCTAGCCGTCCATAATTTTGCAGTGTAAGATTAGAGGGAAGGCAGATAGTCATCACCACCCACCGCCAACTCTTGGGCTACTTACTCTTTTACCAACGAATAGTGGGATTGATCGTCACATTATAACGCCCCCCCCCGGCTGAAAGGGCGAGCATGTTTGGTGGAACGAAGATTCGAACCCGCGACCCACAGATTGCGAGTCGAGCGCCCTAACCACCTGGCCATGCCGGGCCATTGTGGAGCATGTATGTCCTTATAAGGCCCTTTCACTAAGCTAACTATACTGACATTCTGCTTCGACATCTGAAGAAAAGTTTACAACAAGAGAACAGTAGTGACAGGAATGAAAGTTTCATAGCAAGATTATTATTTTTTGTAAAAGAGTGTATGATTATATTTTTATCTTGATGTTTTCTTCGACACTAACTGTAGCTTTGTTGAAAAATTGTTTTGTTGCAGTATCCTTTGAAGTAGAAATTTTTTTAATAAATGGGCATAATTATGGACTTGGAAAACAAGCAATTTCTGTGCAAATCTAGGCTACAACAAAAAGGCTAATAGAATAATTATTGTGTTTTGGCACTTGTGTATAAAATTAAAATCATAAATAATATTCAACGTTAAAATTGGTACACAAATAAAAACATTTTATTTAGGCCTATCTATAGCCTTCAAAAAGTTGAC